ATTGTTGTTGTTGTTGTTGTTGTTATTATTATTATTATTATCATTATTATTTTTATCATTATTATTATTATTATTGTTATTGTTATTATTATTATTATTATTATTATTATTATTATTATTATCGTTATTATTATTATCATTATTATTATTATTATCATTATTATTTTTATCATTATTATTATTATTATTTTTGTTATAATTATTATCATTCTTCTTCTTCTTCTTCTTCTTCTTATTATTATTATTATTATTATCATTATTATTATTATTATTATTATCATTATTATTATTATTATTATTATCATTATTATTATTATTATTATTATTATCATTATTATTATTATTATTATTATCATTATTATTATTATTATTATTATTATTATTATTATTAAGTTTAGCTGTTGTACGCATCTTTAACCCAAAATGACCCATTGTCACTCTAAATTCTTCGCAACCAAATTTGGGAATAAATGATACAACTGCACTCGTGTTGCCTTTTTCTTTCCTCCTGAAGCTTCAATGTGTTCTATTTTGCTCAGGGTGTTTCTTCATGAAACCAGTGTCTGGCTTACTAGGCTCTATTCTTTGAACTCCAACACTTAAAACTGCAAGGCATAAAACATCAAATAGGGACATTGTTGCATTATTAGTCAAAAAAAGGAATACTGCAAATGCTCAGCAAGACGTGACATTTTCCTCAGAAAGTCCTACATTATCATGCAACATATAGTTAATGGATATTAGATTAATCAAGAGGACATAAATTCCAAAAAATAAGGGGCAAAAAGTTGGGTCTTGTCACAACCCAAATCGGATCGCGACTAGCACCCACACTTACCCTCCTATGTGAGCGAACCAACCAATCTAAACCTTAACATTTCAATGTAATAACAACAGAAAGTAATGCGGAAGACTTAAACTCATTAATAAAAACCAAATCAATAACTATCAATATTCAACATCTATTATTCCCAAAACCTGGAAGTCATCATCACAAGAACATCTACTTTAAACTACTAATTCTAAGAGTTTCTAAGAAGCTAAAAATACATAAGAAGCTAGTCCATGCCGGAAGTTCAAGGCATCAAGACATGAAGGAAAAGATCCAGTCCAAGCTAGAAGCGTT